CGAGTAGAGGTAAGTTTTATTGAAATCACCAGAAAAAAGAGGCACTTGTGCATCTAGCTGTTTTCAAACCATTCATAGAGCAATGCTGCCATCTGCTGGCTCGATAAAATATTGCCTCAAGCCTTACATATTTGATACAACAGACATCTGGGAACGTGAAAATAGCGGGAAACGCAATTGACGTGTTAACGTCAATGGCAGTTAATGCTTTAATTATTTTTTAACGCGTTAATGAAAACGGTAATTAACGTGAATTAACGCGATAATTTTGACAGCCCTAATTGTAAGTATTAGAAGGCTCCTGTGTGGCCTCAGTCCTGGGTCTACAGCCTCAGTCCTGGGTCTATACAGTCGCAGTCCTTGGTCTATTCTATACAGCCGCAGTCCTGGGTCTACAGCCTCAGTCCTTATTCTACAGCCTCAGTCCTGGGTCTATACAGCCGCAGTCCTTGGTCTATACAGTCGCAGTCCTGGGTCTATACAGCCGCAGTCCTGGGTCTATACAGCCTCAGTCCTCATTCTACAGCCTCAGTCCTGGGTCTATACAGCCTCAGTCCTCATTCTACAGCCTCAGTCCTGGGTCTATACAGCCTCAGTCCTGGATCTACAGCCTCAGTCCTGGGTCTATACAGCCTCAGTCCTGGATCTACAACCTCAGTCCTGGGTCTATACCGCCTCAGTCTTCTGTTGTCTGGACCATAGACTGTAAATATGAAGTTTGGACTAGCTAACACTGACACCTGCTGGTTGTCGCGGGTATTTCTGCTCTAGATTTCGCGTGATGATTTTCCTTTAACCTCTTTCCAGTCATTTTGGCCGATCCACAGAAGTTGATCCAAATATCTTGAGACCGTGAAAACAAACGTGAGATTAGATTACGGCATGGAACAGTCATGATGTCGGATTGATCTAAGTAAACTTTTATTTTCACAGATAGAGGAAGCCCCGCGTGAGCAGGGCATCAAAAAATTGGATAAAACTCTTATTGTTCCTCTCCACGGAAATCTTTAGTAAAAGGCGAAAGATTTATACGATCTGAAGAGAAACAAGAGTGTACTGAAGGACAGAGGCCAGAGAGAGGCAGGCTGTGCTGGGACACCACGGCCTCTGTCATGGTGCCGCTCACAGGCGCCACCCTTTACAGGGCAGGGTACTGCCCTGAAGAAGGCCGTGCGAGGCTGAAACGCGTTGGTTTTTTCTCCGTGTGTGGGGTCTCACACGGAGAACAAATCACGGATCTAACCACTTTGGTCGTACAGTGTGTGGTGCAGCCACACGGCAAATTCACGCAAACCACACACGAACCGATTTCACCCCCGAGCATTCACAGGTCACCGGAAATCTCACAACATCTCTGGAGATCAAGCGTGACTTCAGAGTAAACAGAGTGTGCGGGCCTCTCTGCTTCACGCAGCCTATAGAGACTCTGGTCTGACCACAGCAGCCTACAGAGACTCTGGTCTGACCACAGCAGCCTATAGAGACTCTGGTCTGACCACAGCAGCCTATAGAGACTCTGGTCTGACCACAGCAGCCTACAGAGACTCTGGTCTGACCACAGCAGCCTATAGAGACTCTGGTCTGACCACAGCAGCCTATAGAGACTCTGGTCTGACCACAGCAGCCTATAGAGACTCTGGTCTGACCACAGCAGCCACAGACACCATGAGGACAAACACATGTGGATGTTACTGCTCTACAGTTCTCTGGCCCGTGCTGTCTGTGCTGTTCAACAATACAGTTTGTACGGACGACCTGTGAACGCATCACACACACTGCTAGACATGAAACTTTACATACGCGCAAACCAACAAGCACGGCTGCAGTAACGGCTGCATCAACACGTCTGTACTGTATTAGGACAGAGTGCAAAGTAAACGTACAAACACAACCATCAGTCTGATCAGTTAGTACTAATCCCGTCCGAACAGGGCTTATGCCAACCAGGGACGTAGGCAGAAATGTTGAATAGAGCGGTCCTGGAGAAAAGTGGGCGGGCCAACTTTTGCCAAAGAAAAAATCAATATGATATCCAATAATACCTGCAGACGTGCCTCCTCGGTTTGACAGCGTTTAGTGAACAGCACAGACTGTAGTGGATACAGGCGCTAATTAGCTACAGTATAAACAATTGTGAATTTAAGTAGATTTAGGAAAATATTTGGCAGTAGAGGTCTTAGAGTCTTAATAAATGTTATACATTATTATATTTAGTAATAATATATATATTGCATTATAAAACAAATCACATATATTTATTATATTAATAGTCAAATGACCACAAAACCAACTTTACTCCAGGCCTTTGAGCTGAACTCAATCTTAACATTATTGAAAAGATTATCACTAACAATAAAACCACAGTAAAGTGATGGATATGGAAGACTATTGGCACCTTAATTCAATTGTCTATTCATTTGTCAAATGGCTATGCATTATGTTATTTTAGTATTTATTTTGTATTTGTATTTGTCAAAGTGTAATGTTATATCCAATTTTGACATTTAATGTTCTATTCCAAAAGTTCTAATGGCAATTCAATATGTAAAGTGTCGATACAATGTCTTTATATATTGCAAATTACAAGATTTTGAAATGAATAGCATATTGACATGGAAATTTGGCCTCCTTATTCATTGTTCTATTCATTCTTAACATGGCATTTAGTTTAGAGTTGTATTTGGAAAAATTGCATGTTATATCCTATTTTGACTTGTATTCCACATTTAAGTATGTTAAGTTTCATTTAATGTGTTGTGAAACAGCACCTCCCTCTGGATTGCATTGCATATTGCATATTGCATATTGCATATTGCATATTGCATTGCCACATGGTTTGAGTGCAACTTAATTCAATATGTTATGCAGTTCTTGACCCCTGGGAAGGCGGGCCCTGGTCCGCTCTCGGCCAATCAGAGACGAGTCTCTGTTAAAAACGGGCTGCTCTTGGTCGGTCACCAGTCACAGTTAATGAGAAGCCGATTCAGACAGTGACATGGCATATCTTCTAACTACAGTGGGCACACTTGGATCTTCAGACGCACTCCGAGTCAGCACCGTGCGGAGAAAAACACAAGTAGTGAACTGTTATGCTAAGGTGGCCCTCAGTTGTAGCCATAGTGTACACTTTATGGTTTTAGTGCGATTTATTCCTAATTTCCTATATGCTCATTCCTCGCTTAAAATAGCAGAGTTACTGGCCTTCAACTTGTTAGCAACAGTTCACAACTTGTGTTTTCCTCCGCACGGTGCTGACTCGGAGTGCGTCTGAAGATCCAAGTGTGCCCACTGTAGTTAGAAGATATATATATATATGCCGTTTTCCCACAGTCCGAGTACGGTACGTTTCGACTCTACACGGCGCGCCATGGCCCAGGTCGCGTGCTTTTCCATCAAAAATAGTACCCCCAGTATGTCCTCAGCGATGTCAGACCACGTCATTTACGTGACGCGTAACTAGTACTGGTGCGGTGCATGGATTTATTATAACATCAGAGCAAGTGTTTTATAGAAAATTTAGCACAGCACGAGTAGTTTTTTAAAATGCTTATGTCTTAAAAGAACGACTCGGAAACTGTGAAGTCAATGGTGCTGACTGCTCTGTACAATCTGAATGGACCTGTAGCAACAGCAGCCTGTGTAGCAGAGGAGGAGGGCTGGATGTCCGAGGATACTGCTAGGCTAAAGCTAATGCTAGCGCTAGCTCGAGACTCTGCTCACTCACTAACCCTGGATTCCAAAGCTACTACAATACTACACTTAACACATCTATCACTACCCTCAGAGGAGGATCCAGGGTTTAAACTCGTCATATGGCAACTCGAGCAGTAAAGGACCGAGGGAGAGACAGCGGCAGCCATAGGGGTAGCGAGTTAGCGGCTAGGCTAAGCTAGGCTAGGCTAGGCTGGACTCGGGTCCGGACTACAGCAGACTTCGAGACCAGACAAACAATCTATACCCAAACCTCAGCTACAATAATAATAAAGGAATGAAACACAGTCTTGGGATACAGTCACAGATTTATTGAAAACAAAAGTAAAGTGCAAAACCAACAGTTTACAAAGTCAAAAAAAAAAAAAAAGCAGCTTGAAAATAATGGACTCATTCCCACCGAGTAAAAAACCCAGGTTGCCTCATTGCACAGGCTGGCGTGTTGTTTTGACTCGCCTCTCAACCCGCCTGTTGACCTATTCCTGAGTTGTCCAAATGTAATCATTAGAGGCCCAATGAAGTACAGCAAAGGTGTCCATGGGGCTGACTATTCGGATATACTGGATTGGGGCTGTTCTGAGGTATAAAATGAGGTATGCCATGTCTATATTGGTTCACATTTGATGGAGCTACAGTTGGCTGAACGACTACGGTTAGCAGTCATTGCTGGATTCCAGAGATCTTGAGCTTCACAAGGTGTTACATGTTGATATGGGCAGAGCTGAAGTTGCTGACATGGGATCATTTTAAGTAACATTTAACTTTGGTGTAACAGGGAGAGTGGACGTATAAGACGCCTCAGTGGAAACAGAATCCTGTCTCTTCTGAGCCACGATCCTGCAACAGAGACGACAACAAGTTCAGTCAGAAAATTATGGATTAATTGGTCGACATGAAAAATCCATTAAATACACAGAGAAGGCCACACCAGGCCACACCAGGCCACACCAGGCCAACACGTGCTCTTTCCCTAAACAGAAGAAACTGCTCTCAGATCTACAGTGGGATGATTATTTAGATTTTTCTTTATAAATTATTGTTTCAACCTGGAGAGCCTACAAGAGACGAGATGCGTTTAAGAGTTGTTTATTTTATGGATTGAGTTTGTTTATTGGTTTGGAGCTTAGGCCCCGGCTGTGGCCTAAGCATGATCTGCCCCAGGCGCACATCATGATCCCCCGGGGCCTAGACACTGGTGGTGGCAAAAAGGCTAAGTTAAAAGCAGCGTGAACAGAGCATTGTGTGGTTTGATGTTAGTGAGTATACTCTTAGGTCGAAACAGATGAGTTTTAAAATGGATTTGAAGAGTTTGAGTTGATGGAGGAGGAGGTGATGTGGTTGATGGAGGAGGTGATGTGGTTGATGGAGGAGGTGATGTGGTTGATGGAGGAGGTGATGTGGTTGATGGAGGAGGTGATGTGGTTGATGGAGGAGGTGATGTGGTTGATGGAGGAGGAGGTGATGTGGTTGATGGAGGAGGAGGTGATGTGGTTGATGGAGGAGGTGATGTGGTTGATGGAGGAGGTGTGGTTGATGGAGGAGGAGGTGATGTGGTTGATGGAGGAGGTGATGTGGTTGATGGAGGAGGTGATGTGGTTGATGGAGGAGGTGGTGTGGTTGATGGAGGAGGAGGTGATGTGGTTGATGGAGGAGGTGGTGTGGTTGATGGAGGAGGTGGTGTGGTTGATGGAGGAGGTGGTGTGGTTTATGGAGGAGGTGATGTGGTTGATGGAGGAGGTGATGTGGTTGATGGAGGAGGTGGTGTGGTTGATGGAGGAGGTGATGTGGTTGATGGAGGAGGAGATGTGGTTGATGGAGGAGGTGATGTGGTTGATGGAGGAGGTGATGTGGTTGATGGAGGAGGTGATGTGGTTGATGGAGGAGGTGATGTGGTTGATGGAGGAGGTGATGTGGTTGATGGAGGAGGTGATGTGGTTGATGGAGGAGGTGATGTGGTTGATGGAGGAGGTGATGTGGTTGATGGAGGAGGTGATGTGGTTGATGGAGGAGGTGGTGTGGTTGATGGAGGAGGTGGTGTGGTTGATGGAGGAGGTGGTGTGGTTGGAGGAGGAGGTGATGTGGTTGATGGAGGAGGAGGTGATGTGGTTGATGGAGGAGGAGGTGATGTGGTTGATGGAGGAGGTGGTGTGGTTGATGGAGGAGGTGATGTGGTTGATGGAGGAGGTGATGTGGTTGATGGAGGAGGTGATGTGGTTGATGGAGGAGGTGGTGTGGTTGATGGAGGAGGTGATGTGGTTGATGGAGGAGGTGATGTGGTTGATGGAGGAGGTGATGTGGTTGATGGAGGAGGTGGTGTGGTTGATGGAGGAGGTGGTGTGGTTGATGGAGGAGGTGGTGTGGTTGGAGGAGGAGGTGATGTGGTTGATGGAGGAGGTGATGTGGTTGATGGAGGAGGTGATGTGGTTGATGGAGGAGGTGGTGTGGTTGATGGAGGAGGTGATGTGGTTGATGGAGGAGGTGATGTGGTTGATGGAGGAGGTGATGTGGTTGATGGAGGAGGTGGTGTGGTTGATGGAGGAGGTGGTGTGGTTGATGGAGGAGGTGGTGTGGTTGGAGGAGGAGGTGATGTGGTTGATGGAGGAGGAGGTGATGTGGTTGATGGAGGAGGAGGTGATGTGGTTGATGGAGGAGGTGGTGTGGTTGATGGAGGAGGTGATGTGGTTGATGGAGGAGGTGATGTGGTTGATGGAGGAGGTGATGTGGTTGATGGAGGAGGAGGTGATGTGGTTGATGGAGGAGGAGGTGATGTGGTTGATGGAGGAGGAGATGTGGTTGATGGAGGAGGAGATGTGGTTGATGGAGGAGGTGATGTGGTTGATGGAGGAGGTGATGTGGTTGATGGAGGAGGTGATGTGACTGTTTACATCTGAGCCCCCTCGGACCCCACCGCACTCCCCCGCCTCCTGCTCACCAGCACCGGGTGAGTACAACGGTGCAAACACTGCTCCCTGTCCGTCTGGCAGTGCATTACCAGTCCAAACACTGAACTGTGCTGACTCCCTTCTGACTCTGGGAGCTAAAGAACAACAAGGGTTTTCACATTTTAGGCCAATTGAGACTGTGTGTGTTCCTCGCACCAGCTCAAAAATGTTTTTAAATTCTAAAAAACAAAATCAAAACAGGACAGCAGTTAGACGGTCCAACTCTGCAAATCTAATTTCTGTTCCCTGTAGAAATCAATCAACCACATTAATCGACTCTGACGTTATTTTTAAACTTGCTATGCTTAATGTCAGATCTCTATGTAACAAATCATTTTTAATTAATAATTTTATCACTTCTTATGATCTTGATTTTATGCTTATGGCTGAAACATGGCTGGACCAAAATACAGGAAATGCAGTTCTAATAGAAGCAACACCACCCAATTTTAAATTCGAATCCGAAATACGAGAAAACAAAAGGGGGGGAGGCATAGCTGCAGTTTTTAGAGAGCACTTTGTCTCCCATAGAATGCCCCTTGGAAATTTTTCATCGTTTGAGTATATTTCTTTTAAAATGGAACAAAAGCAATCTTCTACTCTTTTCATTGTCCTGTACAGGCCACCACAGTCATGTTGCGATTTTATTGACCATTTTACTGAACTACTTTCATTCGTGTGCACAGATTTTGATAGTTTAGTTATTACAGGTGATTTTAATGTACATGTTGATAATGTTGATGACAGAAATGCAAAGGAGCTGGCTTCTGTGTTTGAGACCTTTGGTTTCATTCAGCACGTGAGTGGCCCCACCCACAGCAGGGGGCACACTCTTGACCTGCTAATTACAAAGGGGGTTAATGTATCAAATGTTAATGTAGTTGATGTTGCTTTGTCAGATCATTTCTGTGTATTTTTTGACATGTGTTTTGCTAGCAAACCACCAGCTGAATTTACAATTGTTAGAAGAAGACACATACATGAAAACACAAGTGAACTGTTCATGGGAATGCTAAATTTTGAGAAAACTCCATGCTCTACTGTTGATGAATTGTATAACTGTGTCACCACCAGTGTTCTGACTGTTCTGGACGCCATTGCTCCTGTGACGGTTAAAATAGTTACCAGTAAGAAAAAGGCCCCATGGACTAAGGCAGACTCGGTCAGGGCACAGAAGCAAGAGTGCCGGAGGGCCGAACGGAAGTGGCGAAAGTCCAATTTCCAGGGCGATTATGAAATCTTTAAAGTTGAGTTGGGTGAATTTAACCAGGTTCTATGTAGAACAAGAGAAATGTATTTTTCTGACATTATTGGAGGTTGCAGTAACAATTTTCGTGTTATGTTTTCAACAGTTGGTAGATTAACGAACCCCCCTGTAAAGTTGCCCCTAGAATTTTCCTCTAAATCTAGGTGTAATGAGTTCGCACAGTTTTTCGATGACAAAGTACAAGGAAACAAAAACACTATCACCCCCACAGCACGTATAACAATGCAACAGCCAGAGAAGCTTTTTGAGCTAACTCACTTTGCACCTGTGGATACTGAAACTGTCAAAAAGATAATCAATCAATCAATCAATCAAATTTTATTTATAAAGCGCTTTTCATACATAAGATGCAACACAAAGTGCTTTACAGATTGGTTAAAAACAATCCCGCCGACCCAAGACCCCTCCCCCAGACCACCCAACAGACCCACCCCAAACCACAGACAAACACACACACGCGCTCATGAACACTCATACACACACACACACACACACACACACCAGTAAAACAATAAAAACATGATGAGAGACTTGGCAGGGTTCAGATGCAACCAGCTGAAAAAGCGTCATCCAAGGAGCCGTCTGCACCAGGAGCAGAGAGCCGCCCGTAGCCACAGGGGACGACACAGGACCCAGAGGAGACATGAAACCGAGGCCCCAGGCCCCCACCAGGCCCAAGAGTCCGACCCCCGCAGCCACACCGACCACTGCTCCCGGTGCAGAGGGCTCCTCCAGAGGAAACACTGGGTACACTAAAAACAATACAATAAGTAAAACACTAAAATGTGAGACTAAAAGGAACACACAATACATGAATAATAGCAATAGCAATATAATAAATAATAAATAATAAAAGATAAATAGAATGGAATAATAAAAACTAATCAAAAGCTACTCTAAAAAGGTGCGTCTTGAGCCTACTTTTAAAAATATGAACGTTCTCTGCGGCCCTGAGCTCCTCCGGCAGACTGTTCCAGAGACGGGGGCCGTAGTGCTGGAAAGATGCCTCGCCGTGAGTGTGTGTCCTGACTTTGGGGATGGTTAGGAGTCTGCTGCCGGAGGAGCGCAGGAGCCGGGAAGGTTCATAGGATAAAAGCAAATCTGAAAGATAAGAAGGCCCAAGACCATTAAGACATTTAAAAACCATTAAAAGAACCTTAAAATCGATTCTGAAACACACGGGGAGCCAATGCAGCGATTTTAAAACCGGTGTAATGTGGTCCCGCCCCCTGGTCTTAGTCAGGACACGTGCGGCCGAGTTTTGGAGTAATTGAAGACTTGCAATGTTCTTTTTGGGAAGACCAGAGAGCAGGGCATTACAATAGTCAATGCGACTGGTGATAAAAGCATGCATCAGCGTCTCCGTGTTGCCCCGAGAGAGAATGGGGCGGACTCTGGCGATGTTCTTTAGATGATAAAAACCTATTTTTGTGATACTCTTGATGTGAGGAATAAAAGTCAGCTCAGAGTCAAAGATTACGCCCAGATTTTTCACTTGTGATGATGGATTAAAAGAGTGTGATTGGAGTTTTGATAAAAGTTTCTCTCTCTGGGCCTCAGGACCGATGACTAAAACCTCAGTTTTGTCCTGGTTAAGCTGGAGAAAGTTTTCTGCCATCCAGGATTTCAGGTCTAAAATGCAGTTAAAAAGAGCATCCATTGGCCTGGTGTCATCAGGAGACATGGAGATGTACAGCTGAGTATCATCTGCATAACTGTGGAAGTTAATTCCATGTCTCCTGACGACACCGCCAAGAGGGAGCATGTACAGGTTAAAAAGGACTGGACCTAAAATGGAACCCTGGGGCACACCACATGTGATTTTATGGACCTGAGAGGAGCAGGTATCCAAACTTACCATGAAGGATCTGTCTGTTAAATAAGAAGTGAACCATTTGTGGACAGCACCAGAGAGGCCGAGGTGTTGTAGGCGTGATAAAAGAATTGTGTGGTCTACTGTATCAAAGGCAGCGCTAAGATCCAGTAGAACCAACACAGTCACCTTTTTGAAATCATAACTTAGTCTAAGATCGTTTAAAATCTTTAAAAGAGCAGTCTCTGTGCTGTGGTTCACCCTAAAACCTGATTGAAATTTCTCTAAAATTTGCTGCTGATCTAAAAAGGCATTGAGCTGGGTAAAAACAAGTTTTTCTAAAATTTTGCTTAAAAATGGTAAGTTGGATACCGGTCTGTAGTTGTTAAAATCATTAAAATCTAAATTGCTCTTCTTCAGAAGGGGTCTCACCACAGCCGCTTTGAAGGCTGCAGGAAAGACCCCAGTCTGAAGAGAGCAATTCATCAGGTTTAAAAGCTCCTCTCTAAAAGATTCATAAAATGACTTAAAAAATGGAGTGGGGACTGGATCTAAAAGACATGTGGTGGGCCTCACTGAGGAGAAAACTTTATCAAGCATCTCAGCATCAACCAGGACAAAACTGTCCAGTGTTTCCTCTGGCGAAGACAAACAATCAGATGTGTTAAAAACAGTAGTGCGGTTGGATAAAATGTTACATCTGATTGTATTTATCTTCCCCGTGAAGTGGACTGCAAAATCCTCACAGAGGGAGTCTGTGGGGGTTAAAAGAGACATGCTAAAATCAGGGTTTAAAATGGTGTCGATGGTTGAAAAAAGGATTTTTGGATTATTTTTGTTCTGGCTGATTAGATTTGCAAAGTATTTGTTCTTATGATTTCTAATTGTGTAATTGTATGCTTTTTGATTGTTTTTATATATTTCGTAGTTGATTGTTGTTTTATTTTTCCTCCATCTTCGTTCTGCCACCCTGCACTCTTGTTTCATTTTGCGTACTTCTTCATTTCTCCATGGGGGTGCAGATTTTGTTTTTATGATTTTTGTTTTTAAAGGAGCCACCTGATCCAACGCAGAACTAAGTCTACTGTTAAAATCATTTGCTATAAAATCACAGGGGGCAGGTAAAACCAAGTGGGGAGTGTTGTTTAGGATGTCGATAAAATTTGCAGCCACTTCAGGGGTTAGATGTCGCTTCCTCACGGTTCTCACAGAGGTCTCACGCTGTATAAAACCAGTGATGTTAAAAAACACACAGTAGTGGTCCGAGACAGCCAAGTCGACAACAGAGGACACATCCGCAGTCAGGCCATAGGTAATGACCAGGTCGAGGGTGCGTCCCCTGTTGTGTGTTGGCTGTCTGACGTGTTGGGTAAAATCCATGTAATTAAGAACATCTAAAAAATCTAGGGTAAAATTGTCAGAGGGATTGTCAATGTGTATGTTAAAATCACCGGTTAAAATTATCATATTGTAAGAATTGTGTAACTGTGATAAAAACGCTGAGAATTCAATAATAAAAAGGCTGCACTTTTTAGGTGGCCTATAAATAATTACTGTTAAAATTTTGGGGTTGCTAAAAACAAGAGAGTGATACTCAAAACTTGAGTATTGGTTAAAAACAATAGGTTTGGTGGCCAGGGTGTTACTGCATATTGAGGCTGTGCCGCCACCTCTCTTTCCTTCTCTTGTTTTAAAAGCAAAGTTAAAATTGGGGGGGGAGGCCTCTGTAAGAACAGCCGGAGCATCCGGACCCAGCCACGTCTCAGTTAAAAACATACCATCCAGCTCGTGTTCTAAAATCAAATCATTAACAGTAAAAGTCTTATTTAAAAGGGAGCGTACATTTAAAAGGGCAAACCTGATGGTAGATGGGTTGTTATTGTTGATGGGGAGTCCATAGTTCGAAGTGGGGGGAGCAGAGGATGAGAGAGGGCAGGGGGAAACAGTGATGAGGTTGGTGAAGGACGGTTTCCTGGGTATGGACGGTCTGTAGGGGCGGGGTCTGGACAAAACTGTAATTTTGTGCTGGGGAAGAGAGCAGGGGTTGATGCTGGGGCACAGACGGGCAGGAGGGATGTGGGATGTGGGGGTGGGTTGTCAGAGGTATGTCAGAATCATGAGTCTGAGCTCCTCCACATGTAGCCTGGATATATTTCCCTCTAAATTTCTGAAGTCCGTCCTGAGCAGTTTGTTACCTTCACTGACACAAATAGTAAACATGTCTCTGTCGTCAGGAACATTTCCTATGGCCCTAAAAACAGCAGTCATAAGACCTCTCCTAAAAAAGAGCAGTCTGGATCCTGCGGGACTTCAAAATTATCGCCCCATATCGAATCTGCCATTCATTGGAAAAATTCTTGAAAAAGTGGCCTCCCAACAACTTACTGAATTTTTAACAATGAATAATTCTTTTGATATGTTCCAGTCTGGGTTTAGACCCCACCACAGCACTGAGACCGCTCTAGTGAAGGTAACAAACGCCATTCGACTTCACACTGATGCAGGCAAAGTCACAGTTTTGGTCATGTTAGATCTTAGTGCCGCGTTCGACACTGTCGACCATGAGATCCTCATGCAGAGACTGGAGGACTGGGTTGGTGTCACTGGCACAGCCCTAGACTGGTTTAGGTCTTACCTGGAGGATAGGAAGTACTTTGTGGAGATTGGAGACTGCGTCTCAGATCATGTGGCCCTGACCTGTGGAGTACCACAGGGGTCGATCCTGGGACCTCTCCTATTTAATCTCTACATGCTGCCGTTAGGTCAGTTAATACAAAGAAACAAAGTGTCCTACCACAATTACGCCGACGACACTCAGATCTATGTCTCACTGACTGCAGGAGAACATGGACCACTGGATTTGCTCCTTCACTGTATCCAACAGATCAGTGACTGGATGCAAAATAATTTCCTCCAGCTAAATGCAGACAAAACCGAAATCATTGTCTTTGGTCCCCAGAAACAAAGAGAGGGCGTCATTTGTCAACTTCAGTCTCTCTCTCTACTTCCCTCAGACAAGGTCAGAAATTTGGGGGTAATACTGGACTCAGACCTAAATTTCAATAGCCACATAAAATCAATAACATCAACAGCTTTTTACCATCTGAAGAACATTGCCAAAGTTAGAAATATAGTGTCCAGGGCAGACTTGGAGATTCTTGTCCATGCATTTGTCTCCAGCAGGCTAGACTACTGCAATGGCCTGCTTACAGGTCTGTCCAAACAGACCTGTAAGCAGCTGCAGTACATCCAAAATGCAGCAGCTAGAGTCCTGACAGGAACCAGGAAGTATGACCATATTAGTCCGGTCCTCAGGTCTCTGCACTGGCTTCCTGTGGCTCAGAGAATAGATTTTAAAACAGCTCTGCTTGTGTACAAGTCTCTCCATGGCCTTGCACCAGAATACATTAGTGACATGTTGGTGTCATATGAACCGGCCCGGACTCTGAGGAGCACGGGGACTGGCCTCCTGCTGGTGCCCAGAGTGAGAACCAAACATGGGGAGGCTGCGTTTCAGATCCATGCAGCTAAGATCTGGAACAATCTCCCTGAAAATGTGAGGGAGGCGTCTACTCTGTCAATGTTCAAATCCAGGTTGAAGACTGTTCTGTTTGCCTGTGCATACAACTGAAGGATTTTATCTCCATTTCTAATGCACTGTTGTCATTTATTTATTTTTATTTATTTTTAAATTTCTTGTGTAATTTTGAAAGTTTTAATGGTTTTATTCTTTTGTGTGATTTAAATGTTTTAATTGTGTTTTAATCTTTTGTGTGATTTTAATGTTTTAATTGTGTTTTAATCTTTTGTGTGATTCTAATGTTTTAATTGTGATTCTGGTGTTTGTTTTATGTGATGATTTGTGATGTGGACTGTGAAGCGCTTTGTGTTGCCCTGTGTATGAAAGGCGCTCTACAAATAAACTTTGATTGATTGATTGATTGATGTGGTTGATGGAGGAGGTGATGTGGTTGATGGAGGAGGTGATGTGGTTGATGGAGGAGGTGGTGTGGTTGATGGAGGAGGTGATGTGGTTGATGGAGGAGGTGGTGTGGTTGATGGAGGAGGTGATGTGGTTGATGGAGGAGGTGGTGTGGTTGATGGAGGAGGTGATGTGGTTGATGGAGGAGGTGATGTGGTTGATGGAGGAGGTGATGTGGTTGATGGAGGAGGTGGTGTGGTTGATGGAGGAGGTGGTGTGGTTGATGGAGGAGGTGGTGTGGTTGATGGAGGAGGTGATGTGGTTGATGGAGGAGGTGATGTGGTTGATGGAGGAGGAGGTGATGTGGTTGATGGAGGAGGAGGTGATGTGGTTGATGGAGGAGGTGGTGTGGTTGATGGAGGAGGTGATGTGGTTGATGGAGGAGGTGGTGTGGTTGATGGAGGAGGTGGTGTGGTTGATGGAGGAGGTGGTGTGGTTGATGGAGGAGGTGGTGTGGTTGATGGAGGAGGTGGTGTGGTTGGAGGAGGAGGTGATGTGGTTGATGGAGGAGGAGGTGATGTGGTTGATGGAGGAGGAGGTGATGTGGTTGATGGAGGAGGTGGTGTGGTTGATGGAGGAGGTGATGTGGTTGATGGAGGAGGTGATGTGGTTGATGGAGGAGGTGGTGTGGTTGATGGAGGAGGTGATGTGGTTGATGGAGGAGGTGATGTGGTTGATGGAGGAGGTGATGTGGTTGATGGAGGAGGTGATGTGGTTGATGGAGGAGGTGATGTGGTTGATGGAGGAGGTGATGTGGTTGATGGAGGAGGTGATGTGGTTGATGGAGGAGGTGATGTGGTTGATGGAGGAGGGAGTTGCAGTAGTTTCCATTTTAAATTTCTTAAGAATATTTTGGAGAATAATCTTTTGAATGTTCTGGAAAACTGCAGCAGGTCCTAAGTAGCTCTGAAACAACTCTGGTTTAGTGTTCATGGTTTTACATTGGTCCAGACCAGAGCAGAGAGGATTCATGGTTTTACACTGGTCCAGACCAGAGCAGAGAGGATTCATGGTTTTACACTGGTCCAGACCAGAGCAGAGAGGATTCATGGTTTTACACTGGTCCAGACCAGAGCAGAGAGGATTCATGGTTTTACACTGGTCCAGACCAGACCAGAGAGGATTCATGGTCCAAACCAAGTGGATCAGTTGAAAATCCACTGGAGGAATGCTAACTTTTTGAAATATGCTAATGAAGCATTTAGCTTTTTACTTTGGACCAGAGCAGAGAAAATGGTTCGAACCAAGCGGCTGCTCCACCTTTTGACCCGTCCTGCTCCACCCAGAGGCTACTCCACCTCTGCTGCTGTGACCAGTCCTGCTCCACCCAGAGGCTACTCCACATCTGCTGCTGTGACCTGCTCCACCCAGAGGCAACTCCACCTCTGCTGCTGTGACCTGCTCCACCCAGAGGCTACTCCACCTCTGCTGCTGTGACCTGCTCCACCCAGAGGCTACTCCACATCTGCTGCTGTGACCTGCTCCACCCAGAGGCTACTCCACCTCTGCTGCTGTGACCTGCTCCACCCAGAGGCTACTCCACATCTGCTGCTGTGACCTGCTCCACCCCAGAGGCTACTCCACCTCTGCTGCTGTGACCTGCTCCACCCAGAGGCTACTCCACCTCTGCTGCTGTGACCCGTCCTGCTCCACCCAGAGGCTACTCCACCTCTGCTGCTGTGACCCGTCCTGCTCCACCCAGAGGCTACTCCACCTCTGCTGCTGTGACCTGCTCCACCCAGAGGCTACTCCACCTCTGCTGCTGTGACCCGTCCTGCTCCACCCAGAGGCTACTCCACCTCTGCTGCTGTGACCTGTCCTGCTCCACCCAGAGGCTACTCCACCTCTGCTGCTGTGACCTGCTCCACCCAGAGGCTACTCCACCTCTGCTGCTGTGACCTCAAGGGCTGTTGCTGATTATTACTATTGTTAGCTTTTTAGAATGATCAATTTTATTTTTTATTTTAGTGGACACCTGAATATTTCCTTCTATCTTTCTAATCCCGTCTGAGAAAGAGAAGGAACATCATCTAAGGAGAAAACATCTGACATAGGGAACTCTTCCATTAGACTCATGCATTGGCAAAGTGTTCTGCTTCGTTAAAGAGCCACAGGAAGATTCATTTAACATGATTCTAATGTGGATGCATCAGGACAGTTAGTTCATCAACATGTTGGAGTTTTTGTTGTTGTCTCTTTTGACACTTGACCTTTTGTTGGGTATTGTTGCTGAAGGGGATATCATAGATGGTGGGCATGTTTGTTTTCTGTTTTATGTTGTTGTAGCAGTTGTTTTTTTTTTATTGTTTGAATATTTTTTAATCATAAATAATAAGCTAAAATAAATAGATACTTGTTTTCCCTCTGTCCTTTATGGGTTACTTCTACAGAGCTCTGGTTCTGAAACAAACAGCTTTTTCTCAGTAAACACAGTGATAGGTCCTGGTCCCGTCCTGGTTCTTTCACCGACAGTTCTTACCCTGCGCAGAACTCTGGAGGCAATCTATTGGATCTGGATCTTCTCAGCTTTGGTCTGGTGCTTCTCTCTGCAGCTTCAGTCACATGTTGTCTCCCACAGCTGTAAACAACAGGTTAAGTTGTTATTTCCTGTTTCAGAATGTGAACTGTATGAATGAAGATGGATCTGAACAAGCACCTGTTTGTGTGTGCAGCTCCACACATGTCCACACGGGGGCGCTGCAGCTCTGTCATTGCATCTGCACAAACAAGAGGGTGTCTTTAAAGCTACACAGTTTGTTTCTAATATCCTGCTCTGAAAACATTTGTTAGACTTGTCATAGCGTTTAGTATTGTATTCTACGTCTGTAAGTACTATTTATCCATTTTCTTACGCTTCATCCATTGCCAGGTTGCGGGGGCAGCTGTCTAAGCAGTGACGCCCAGACATTCCTATCTACACACTTCCTTCAACTCATCCCGGGGGATCCCAAGCATGGATCTATTATAATAACTGGATAGGGTATTACTAGCTTGGAGCTGAAGAACCCATGTGCTCAGGGGATTCTTGCGGTACTGCAGACTGAACCAGACTAAATTCACGTGGGCTACCCAGACATGTTCCCCATAGAACTTAATGTAAACTAAAACAGCGCGACCTCAGCTGACAGAGAACCTGACAGAGAACCTATAGCTTTCACAAAGGTCGGATTTTGTGGGGATTTTAGTGTCCCTTGTCATCCTGAACTTTTTTCCTTCATAAATCCTTCGGTTTTATTTAAATCCACACTTTACTGCCACAAACTCTGCTGAAATCAGAGGTAAAGCTGTGCTTAGTTTGCGGGGAACAGACCCCTGTGTTTCGAGAACGGTCTGTCTGCGGCCTGCAGTATGGAGGCGTGTCGAGTAGTAGGCGTGTCGGGTAGTGACTACCCGACACGCCTACTACTCGACACGCCTCCATACTGCAGGCCGCAGACAGATACACTTGGTCGTGTTGGGCTGTTCATGAATAAACGGAGTCTGGTTATTTTATTCTCCAAAGATACTTCTGCCTCTGCTTCCTACCCAGCTTGCCCGTTACATTAGCAAAATATTTACAGTCTGTGTTAGCAACTCGTGTATGACTTTATGCTCACTGTAGGCACAGACACAAAAGTAACGTGGCCGCCCCTTTCCCATGTTGTGTGAGCGCCGCCGCCCCTTTCCCTGTTGTGTGAGCGCTGCCGCCCCTTTCCCCTGTTGTATGAGCTGAGCGCTGCCGCCCCTTTCCCATGTTGTGTGAGCGCCGCCGCCCCTTTCCCCTGTTGTATGAGCTGAGCGCTGCCGCCCCTTTCCCTGTTGTATGAGCTGAGCGCTGCCGCCCCTTTCCCTGTTGTATGAGCTGAGCGCTGCCGCCCCTTTCCCTGTTGTATGAGCTGAGCGCTGCCGCCCCTTTCCCTGTTGTATGAGCTGAGCGCTGCCGCCCCTTTCCCTGTTGTGTGAGCTGAGCGCTGCCGCCCCTTTCCCTGTTGTGTGAGCGCTGCCTCACCTCGTCTCTTTGAATAGGAATAATGGGATTTCAGCGATTTTGACTCCTAAAATGATCAAAACTGTTCGGAAACAGTCCGAATATACTTTATAAGCATAAGACAGTGGAAGACAATTATATATTTTGAAAAACAAAAAGAAGTAAATTAGGTCGGGCCACCCCAATATTCCAATGTAGCCCTCAGGTGCAAAGGTTTGCCCATGCCTGGACTATACTGTTTAATAAATGAGAGAAAAGTATTCATCACTAATAATGTGTTGTGTGTTTGTAGAGTTATATGTGACTCACCTGAAGCTTTCCAGCTGCGTACAGCGAGTCTGAGCTGCTACTTGTTTTGCTGGTGCGTCCTGACACTGTTTCTACATAAACGATGAGTGTAGCAAGCTGATAGGAGCACTGTGTTCATATACACCATATAAACACCATATAAACTTGTGAAACTGTCTTCTTACCCACCCCTAAAGGCACAGACAGTTTCCTCTCTCTGAAGCCTTCCATTGGCTGTCTCCTCGCCCCTTAAGGCGGATCTCCGGAGCGAGGAGCTGCGCTTCCACCAATCAGGACTGAGCCCTGAGCCAGACTCAGAGTCATCGCCAGCTTCTTCTTATATTAGTAAGTAAGGAAGTAATCTTTATTTATATACCGCCTTTCACAGACCAGAGTCACAAAGCGGTTTACAATTGTTATAATTTTTAGGGCATTTGTCTCTCACTCCACACAGAGATGGGAGGGGGCAGTACAGAAGGCGCATGCCAGAACTATTGTACATGTTTTTAGAGGTAGGGGAAACTCGTCTCACAGAGACATTTCAGTGGCATCGTTGCACATCACAGCAGAGAAAGAGGGAAATAGGAGCGCTCAGACGCACACATCAAATTGAATCTATTATTTAAGATAAAAGACAATAAAATTAAGGTAAAGAATAAAATAAGATAAACTCTGGGGCTGTGATTGCACTTGGTTCGGAGTATTTACAGATGTGTATATTGTACTTTAGCAGCGGATAATATGAATATGAGCAGAATAAACATCAGAAATAATATCAACAGGTAAAGTGACTGATGAAAGACATAATTATCAGATATGTAATAATGCAGTAATACTAATAACAGGTAAAGTGACTATAGTGACAAAGTTACTGGTGAGTTATCAGTGACACTTAGACGAATACAGATAACATATTATAGATACCATACTATAGATTAGCCTGACTCCCGCCATCACACATGCGTCTGCTACTCCTTCATAGGAGTTGGATTTCTGAAGGCGTGGCTTTAAAAAAAATCCTTGTATGTGATTGGACAAACCACTTGTCCATTATTTTGGATGACGTTGTTGACATGTAAGAAACAGGAAGTCACAGACTAGGGAATGATTTGGCTCTCGGTGCAAACAAGCCAAAAATAGTTAAGTATAGAGTAGTAGCATAAAATATAGTGGAGAATAGCGTAAGGCAAAGCAAGAATCAACATACATTTATAAGTTACATGTCACAAAAGACATTAAGCAGCCAATAAGGGCTACGCTCCAATTATAACAAGATAAGTAGTTGCAAGTGTCCCACTATCCATTCCAAAATATAGGTGAACTAAATATGGCACAGGATTTAAAAAAAATATTTGTATGCATTTCTTTTTTTATGTATCAGGTGATTGTCTATTATCCCTCCAAGCCAAAGGGTGATCACCTGTCCAGACCACACAGCAAGTATTGTGGAGTTGGGCTGCCAAAGAGATGACGACACACAAAGAATTGATTGGGTCGATCAGTGAAAAAACCCTGGGCATTGTAGAAGACGAGTGCAAGAAGCTATTCAATCCCTTCACTGATTTCATTCTCTCAA